GAGCATTTTCTGTGGGGACACACACACTCGAATATATAAAACCGATTTCTAAAAAACCGACTTCTATAAATTCGACCTTATTCCGTAGTGTAGACATACCCTAAGAGGTGAACTGATTACAGCCGTTACTTTTCTTCACAGGGAGAAAAGAGCAGGTATCAAAAGGTTCTTTAGTCTAGAGGAGAAAGGCAGAACAAAAGCCAATGGATGGAAGCTAAAGAAAGACAAATTCAAATGAGAAAATTACACTCACATTTTAACGATGAGGGTGATTAGCCACTGGAACAAACCACCAAGGGAAGTGGTGGAGTCTCCATCTCTTGATGTCTTCAAATCAAGACTGGATGCCTTTCTAGAAGATATGATTTGGCCAAATACAAGTTATGCTTTAATCAAACGTAAGTTACTGGGCTCAATACGAGTAAGGGAGTGAAATTTAATGTCCTGTGTTATTCAGAAGATCATCACCACTTTATAAGCACTAAATTCACTTAAAAAAAATCCCAAGTAGAGGATTGGAGCCTCTTTCTCACACCATAGTTTGCTGGAAGTCAGTTCTTACAAAGCACTCCAAGATTTGGCTTCTGCTTTAACATTCATTACATCCACTTTGTTTTATTTTAGACCCCTCCCTCCTGGTAGAAGATTTGCATAGAAGAGCTAAAGACCAACAGTGGTGATAACACTTCACTCCCCAATAACCATATGATACATTACAAGAGATTGTGATATGTCACTTTGCAACCTTCTTATATTTAATAATCTTTCCTGGGTGACTTCTCATGAGATCGATGTTCATTTCTGTCACCACTATGCTTTACGGCTGCAGAACTTAGATACTGAGGGGCAGATTTTCAAAGGAGAAAACAGTAGTTAGGCAATTAATTCCAATGGAAAGTCCGCATTATTTGATATCATGGAGGTCTAAAATTACAGTTGCCAATTTCCAGGGCTGTTCATTTGGAGTAGGGGTTAAAACATCCATGATTAAAAGCAACTGTCCACCATGATGTGTGCAACAAATTGTGGTAATTTGTAATGAATGACAAGACGGTATGATAGCAGGGTGGTAGACAACCTAGACCAGTAAAAAGTTCAAGAGGAAATGGAAATTATCAGATGCCGTGCCATTTAAGTAGATAAATAGAGAGGGAGATTTGTAATGATGAAGGGGAGAAAGGTCATCCCTATGGTATTCTTCAGGGCTATTTACCTGCTAACAGTGTGAAGAAGACTTAGAAACAAAGAATCCACTGGGTTTGTGTCTATGTTTGTTATGTAAAGTACTGGGCGGCAATGTTGGCAGAACACCAGATTTGGGAGAGGAATAAATATTGCATTGCCTTTTTTTTTATGTTCTGGCTTTTTAAAACCAAGGAATTAGAGGCAGAGTGAGTGCCCACAATTAGGTTTAGAGGAGCTTGTCCTGGAAATACTGATCTCTCAAACAGACAGCATGGCAAAATATGGAAGTGCCTCAATTGTCTAATCAGCATATGTTAGAAATGGCCATTAACAGCCAGCCCTATGCAGGACATATTAGGCATTTTTAGGATGGGTGGTAGTCTGATGTTTGTCACACATTTGCCAACAGGACAAAACAAACCAGACTCTGAAGTGGATGTTTCTCATGTTAAATGTAAGTGCAAATCACAAACTTTCAAAACAACAATGCCTGAATACAATAGATTACACTCAGTGATTTATCTTGTGAGATGTTAAAAAAAAGACATATAAAAGGAAACAAGAAGGAAGAAAACAAGTCCAGCTAGCATGCAAGCCTTGTTAAGTTGGATTGTAGCTCCTAGCTACAATCTATTTATCAGTTCATTCAAATTTCTGTCCTCTGGAATCTGAGTCCCAATACTTGGTGAAGAAATTGTGCGCAGAACTGCTGGTACCATTAAACAAGTCTAACTTGTTGCTCAATATAGTGAAACTTTGAGGAACCCAGCTCTTGAGACAGAAAGTTCTTTTTGCAAGAGTTTTTTAATGGTATAGATGACTCATGGGGCAATAATGGAGTACGGAGTTCTTCATCGATTGGTCATAGGTACTAACTGGTGACTAAAAATCATTACCATCTGATGTCTGATCATGGCCTTTGTTAAATGAGTTGGTGGTCTCACTGCAGTTCCTAAGGGGCATAACAAATACTATTAGAATTGGCTCTAATTGCACTGTAGTATCTTAGTGCTTCCTTGAGACCCAGAAGAGAGGCCAAGCACTCAGCAAGCGTGAAGCATGGAAACTCTGGTCTCCCAGATGTGTTTCTTTCATAGCAGGGTTGAAACAGCAACGCGAGGAAAGCTTGCACTGCCACTGCCTGTGCATAGAACTTTTTGGAAGAAAAAATAAACTTGTTGGTCCAGGTGACCTGCAATTTCTACTTTGCAACTTGGGTATTTACACTCTCTCTATGTAAATTTGGCCTGAAGTTTTCAGTCAGTGGAGTTATTTGAACAAGCTACATGTAACACTGCTGTGCACTTTTAAACACCTGCTGCATTTCACTGTGTATGTGAGGATTATGCACAGGCACTGAATTTGTTTGACTTTTATCTTATTTTCTTATTTTTGTATTGTATGGATTGTACCCAAGGAGCAGAGGCACCATATTTCTTAGTTGCTGGGGGCTGTTCGACTCCTGTTCCACCCCAGGTCCCACCCCCACTCCACCCCTTCCCCCAAGCCCCTGCCCTGCCTCTTCCCGCCCCTGCTCAACCCCCACCCCGCTTCTTCTCACCCCCTTCCCCTGCCTCTTCCTGCCCACGCTCCTCCTCCTCCTCCCCAGCACCTCCTGCATGCTGCTGAACAGCTGAGCTGCAGAGGGCGGGAGGGGCAGGAGCTGATCGGTGGGGTCCGCCGGCAAGCAGGAGGCGTTGGGGGAAAGGAGAGGCACTGATCCGCGGGGCTACTGGTGGGTGCTCAGCCCATGCAGTCGGCGCCTATGCCAAGGAGTGCCCCAGCCTGGCACACTTTGTTCCCCATAGTGGAAGCATTTCCAAATGGTGCAATGCTCCTCTGTTCTTGGAAGGGCTTCTCCCATCCCGCAGTGGTACTAATGGGATTGTTCCACAGCAATGCAAAATGCTGGTGGGCTGCATTGCTCCTGCCATTCTATAAGTAACATTTCTTGATGGGGCTGAGGGGAAGCAACTGAAGAAAGAGAAGCAAACAAAGGACAAACATAGGCCCAGCTGTAAGGGGTGCTTGTAGATAAGTCAGAAGCACCAACAGCAAGACTTTTCTGGCCAATTTCATCTTGGATAATAAAGGATTTTTACACATTCATTAATGTCAGAGACTACAGGAGTAAGGGATTCTGCTCCACCTGCTCCTATTCCCCTGCTTTCAGTGGTTGTCATACCCTTTGCTAAGTGAAAGGACCAGTTTATAATCATGCACCTGTCACTGTGCTGCTCACCCCAGAAATGCTGTTACAGTAAAGGTTAAAGGATTATCTGAAAAACATTAGGAAAAACTTCCTAACTCTCAGGGTGATTAAGCACTGGAATAAATTGCCTAGGGAGATTGTAGAACAGGGGTGGCAAACTTTTTGGCCCGAGGGCCACATCGGAGTGCGAAACAGTATGGAGGGCTGGGTAGGGAAGGCTGTGCCCCTCAAACAGCCTGGCCCCTGCCCCCTATACACCCCCTCCCACTTCCCACCCCTGACTGCCCGCCTCAGAGTCCCTGACCCATCCAACTCCCCCTGCTCCTTGTCCCCTGACCGCCCCCTCCCAGGACTCCCCACCCCAAACCGCTCTCCCGGATCCCACCCCCATCCACGCCCCCCGCTCCCTGTCCCCTGACTGCCCCCCAACCCCTATCCATCCCCCCGACAGGCCCCCCGGGACTCCCACGCCCTATCCAACCCCCGCTGTTCTCCGACCCCGACTGCCCCAGAACCTCAGCCCCATCCAGCTACTCCCTGTCCCCTGACTGCCCCCGGGACCCCCTACACAACCACCCCACAGCCGCGTGCGCGCAGCCGCCGCCCCCTTACCATGCCACTCAGAGTGGCAGGAGCTCGCAGCCCCGCTGCCCGTGCGGCAGCATCACTGCAAGGGAGGGGGGACAGAGGGAGAGGGGCCAGGGGCTAGCCTCCCCAGCTGGGAGCTCAGGGGCCGGGCAGGATGGTCCCGCGGGCCAGATGTGGCCCACAGGCCATAGTTTGACCACCTCTGTTGCAGAATCTCCATCACTGGAGATTTTTAAGAGCAGGTTAGACAAACACCTGTCAGGGATGGTCCAGATAATACTGACTCCTGCCATGAGTGCGGGGGACTGGACTAGAGACCTCTTGAGGCCTCTTCCAGGTCTTACGATTCTATGAATTAGGGCTAGGGAAAAAAAATCAAACCATGGCCCACTGAAAGAGACTGTCATATTATGAAAAGAAACAGATATTTTCATGTAATTTCTACCATCAAACCTTTTGTCCTGCTGTACTCCTAGAAGGAACTGAGAGCAAAGAACCAGTGTTTGAGAAATTTTTCTTTTGAAAGAAGAATTTTATGGGAGAAGTAATGAAAAAGTTGGGTAAGTGTGGGAATTTATTTTTCCAAAGGTCTCTCCTCACAGTGCTGTTTGTCATCTGGGTTCCCTCTATACAAGGCTGTATTAACAGCTACTCACTGCATTACTATGTGTTATAAACCTTCTTTTGAAATTACCTAAGGAAAGTCTTCACAATGGAGGCACTGTACAGTGCAGAAGGGGTGTGTGCTTAAGGGTCTTTTGTTTCAGTATAAGTAAATTATAATTCTAGAGTCACAAATGTCTCTTTGAGCAGAGAGCCACATACTATGAATCACACCTTTTGTCTGAAGAGGAAGAGAAGGGAGAAAAAAAAGAAATCTGGTATGTCTGAAAGTATTTGGCAAAGAAACACAGCCCACTTTATATCGACTGACCAATAAGAAGAATTTCAGTGTTGGCAAAAGGCTTACGGCTGGTGAATTCCACAGGGCTTACATATCATGTTCTATGGACAACTCCCATTGTCACAGGCATAAAAGACGCCAGGTGGGAGAAAGAATCTTTCACTCCTGCTTCAAGAGCACAAACTGTGTGAACTGTGCTTAGAGTTCAATCCTTGCTATCTACTCACCATGTCCACTTACAGCTTGAAGCAAATAACTTCTTCTGGGTTAGGTAATATTAGTGGTTCCTCAGGCGGTCGGGCTGTTGGTTCCTTCAGGGCTTCAAGTATACATGGAGGATTTGGTGACAGGGGTATTTCTGTCTCTACTGCTCGGTTTGTCTCTTCTGGGGTAGGAGGTGGCCTTGGGGGTGGATATGGTGGTAGTTTGTACGGTGGCTTTGGTGGTGGTGATGGCCTCCTTTCTGGAAATGAAAAGACAACTATGCAGAACCTGAATGACCGCCTGGCATCCTACCTGGACAAAGTACGTACTCTGGAGGAGGCAAATTCTGAGCTAGAAATTAAAATCCGAGACTGGTACCAGAGACAAGGACCAGGGCCAGCCTCTGATTACAGCCCATATTACAAGACTATTGAAGATCTTCGAGACAAGGTAGGTGTTAAAGTTTGTTAAAAAGCATCTAAGGATAGACCCAAATGTTTGTTAAAACAGCATTTATATCATGTGGCTATTATTAGCAGATGGAAGGAAAATTTTATTATCTGTAAATAATTATAACTGTTTTATTATGTGGTGTCCACTAACAATGAAAGACAAATTCAGCCTCAATCACATTTCTGAAATTTAATAAGAAATGAAAAGAAAAGCCTCAATAGAAAACCAGACAAAAGAAATGGTAGATTATGGGAGAGTAGAAGGGTGATGTGAGTATGTAGTGAATCAGAAGGGATGGACAATGACAATGCCCAGTATGAAATGTATCTGTTATAAAACTGTTAGCTAAGAAAATGTGCACAAGTGACACCTTTAATAGTCAATGGTGAAATGATTTGAGGGCCCCACTAACTCCCACAACCCCACAAATACTCGATGCCCCTGAAAACAGTAGTAAAGTCCTTACATTTTTCTCAATTAATTCTGCACAATTACTGTACCAAATTTAGCCTTGATGTAAGTGGATGCAACTGCTACTGTAGTCAATGAGAGTTGTATCAATTTGGTTTTGGAATGAATTTGGCATCTAAAAAAAGTCACCCTTCAGTTTAAATCTTGTCAGACTACTGTAGGTATCTGTCTATCTCTGCAGTCACCTACCAATCATACACGTTTGTTTAAGCCTCTGGACAGCCAGTATGTGCACTGCTTTAGCAGTTATCAGAGAAGATGACATCTCTGAGTTGATATTAACAGTTAAAATAAGAACTGATCAAATATAGGGGTTTGCAAATGTGAACTGAAGCACTTCAGAATTTTACCACATGAAACTGAGATTTTTTAAACCTTTTTTATTTCGCCTTCTGAGCTTGAACTTTGAAGAAGAAAGTGTTTAAATATGTTTCTTAAAGAAAAAAGAAACAGCCAACATTAACTAAATTAAGTGCATACAAATTATATATAAATACAGGATTTATTGCGCCTCAGCAAATCCATTTGTGCACAATAAGTTTGTTTAAGGGTGGTACACACCTTAGAAGACATACATGATTGCTGACTGAACTATGTAAACACAGCCTCATGAGAAAACCTAAAGTTTATTTTTCAGATCTTAGTGTGGTTCATGACCCCACCCACACAGTTTCCTTTCCCTTGGGCTTACCTCGCTCACACTGTACTGATTTCAGAAATGAACCTCCGAAAAAGAAGAGCTGGAATTAGATTCCCTCATTTGAAATCTCCTGGGCTCTTGCTCTTTATTCCCAACTCATGAGAGTGAGCAGCTCCCACTGTGTTTTCCAGATGACCTATTGATTTCTGATAGTCATAGAATTTTAGGCCACAAGAGACTACCAGATCATCTAGTCTGACCTTCCGTAAACCACAGGCCACCAACACCACCCAAAATCCACACACTAAACTCAACCATCAAAATTAGAGCAAAGTATTACAGCCCAAAAGAGACCAGACTATTGTGTGCTACAGGCAGAGAATTGGATAGACCAATGCCCAAGGCCCTGCAATAGCAGGGAAATGATGAAGTGAGATATATCCAGATAATCCTGGCAAGTGACCTGCATCCACACACTGCAGAGGAAGGTGAAACCCTGCCAAGGTCCCCACCAATCTGACCTGGGGGGAAATTCTTTCCTGGTTCCACATAAGGTGGCTCATAAAAGTAAATTTGTCAGGTAAGGTACACAGGGAAGAAGTTTTAAGTAAACAAAACTCTTTGTGTGGCCGTTTATGGTGTGTTACAGGAATCACTCAGCATTCTGGAGCTGGGGAACCTGTTGTATGATTAGGCTAGGAGATAAAATGCATTCAAACGCTATACAAATGTGATATAGAACTGTCATGTAGTATTATATTGTATTCCATTACAGAGTTATATACAAAGGCATAATTTGTTTTTATTTATATAAAAGTAATATGAACCCCCAAATCTCTGGTCAGGGCTAACACAGATAAAAGCCTCCTGAGCAGAATTTCTGGCCAGAAAGACTCAACAGACTTCCTTTGCTCAGCACCTCTGTCTCCTTGTGGCTCTTTAATATGGTGGTAGGAATTCAGTCAGTGGAATTCAGTGAGCCTGCCCAGAGAAGGAGTCATTTCCTGATCTACATGCTACATCTCAGAAACTGATGGGTAGATCCTTAATGGCAGGTCACACAAAGAAAGGGGCAAATCCATTCCTGATGTAGCTCCACAGCCTTGAGAGAAGTTACGTCAGAGATTAATTTTGTCCAGTATGTTAACTGAAGACCCTACTGCCCTTGATCAAAGAGAGACAGGCCTATTTAGGACTAAAACAAAAAGAGCTGAAATGTCAGTTACTCAACTTTAAGGCCCCGCATAGTTCAGTTAGAATTTCACCAGAATTTGTTATGTCTTTTATCCCGGATTGTAATGAATGGAGGCATACGGTTATTTCAGCCCAGACTGTGATTCACTCTGTGCCACTTGGCTTTTTCCAGATTCTTGCTGCCACCATTGACAACTCCAAGATTGTTTTGCAAATTGATAATGCCAGGCTGGCTGCTGATGACTTCAAAACCAAGTGAGTACATTCCTCTAAGGCAAGGAGATACTGACAGTCAGGTTGTCAGGCGTCTGATTTTTGACTGGAACGCCCGGTCAAAAAGGGACCCTGGTGGCTCTGGTCAGCACTGCAACAGGGGCCATTAAAAGTCCAGTTGGTGGCACAGCAGGGGCCCGGGGCTAAGGCAGGCTCCCTGCCTGCCCTAGCTTCCCTCATCTCCCAGAAGCGGCCACCAGGTCCCTGCGGCCCCTAGGCTCATGGACGGCCAGGAAGGCTCCACATGCTGTCCCCGCCCCAAGGGCCGGCTCTGCAGCTCTCATTGGCCAGGAACTGTGACCAATGGGAGCTGCAGGGGTGGTGCCTGCAGGCATGAGGGCAGCGCTCGGAGCCTCCCTGGCCACCCATGCATTTAGGGGCTGCAGGGACCTGGCAGCTGATTCCTGGGAGCCGTGGTAAGTGCCGCGGGGACCCTGCACCCCGAGCCCCCTGCCCCAGCCTGGAGTCCCCTCCCACACCCAAACTCCCTCCCGGAACCCGCACCTCCCCAACACCCTGCCCTGCGCCCTCCTGCACCCCAAACCCTTCATCCCCGGCCCCACCCCACAGCCCACACCTGCAGCCGGAGCCCTCACCCCAACTCCCCATACCCCAGCCCCCTGCCCCGGCCCAGAGCCCTCTCCCACACCCTGAACCCCTAATTTCTGGCCCCACTCAGAGCCCACACCCCCAGCCCAGAACCCATACCCCCCACACCCCAAACCCCTTATCCCCAGCCCCACCCAGAGCCCACACCCCCAGATGGAGCCGTCACCCCCCTCTTGCACCTCAATCCCCTGCCCAAGCCCGGTAAAAGTGAGTGATGGTGGGGGAGATCAAGTGATGAAGGGAGGGGGGATGGAGCAAATGGGGGTGGGGCCTCGGAGAAGGGGCGGAGCTGGGGTGTTTGGTTTTTTGTGATTAGAAAGCTGGCAACCCTAACTGAAAGGCAGGCAGATATTCATGTCATTATCATTTGAAAAAGCAAAAGGAATGTCACTTGAGCCATGCATTAAAACTAGACAATAAAAATATGGTCTGAAAATGGATATAGCCAGCATATAATATGGGTTTCACAACGTACCTGGCTTAATCAACCAACCATAATGGGTTGGGTGGACCTCCTCCTCTATGTTAGCAGACTGTCTATAAAGATTGTGACACAATTCAGCAAAGTTAATAACGGCCACAATAACGAGGGTGCTGAGAACGATTCTGCAGAGCCATATAAGCGTGAGAAAAATTGTAGTATAGCATCCTACAATGTAAATTTATAGAGTGTAGCGGGAAGATCACAGAACATCTTCCTGCACAGCGTCTTGCTCTGTTAAAGTAATATCATTAAATTCCACACATTAAATTCGACTCGTGCGGTACATGTCACGTAAGTTATACTGCTCATATAAACCACATATAAACCTATGTGCAAAATATTGGGATAGATTCATTATTACAAATATAGGGCTTTTTTATATGATGAAGAAAACTAAAGTCAAAGTCAAATGGTAATAAATACTATTTGCCCCTTGTTCTAGATTTAAATAACTCTTGGTTTTGTTCTGCTTTTTTTGAAGGTATGAAACAGAGCAGGCCCTGCACATGAGTGTTGAGGCTGACATCAATGGCCTGAAGAGAGTCCTGGATGAGCTGACCCTAGCCAGAACTGACCTGGAGATGCAGATAGAAAGCCTGAAGGAGGAGCTGGCTTACCTAAAGAAGAACCATGAGGAGGTATAAAACCCAAAGCACACATGTGAAAATAGCAGTAGGAAAAAGATGACTGATATGTAGGAGGGAATCTGGAATTTCTCAGTTATGCTGGGCTTTCTAGTAGAATATAAAAAGCCTCGTTATAGATTGGGTAAATAAAGCCCACCTGCAAATATCTGAGAATGGTCAATCAGAGGTTAGCCCTTGAGGAGAGTGGGTGAACTCAAGAGAGAATAGTAGTGTCTTTAACTCATGCTTGTGTCTTTCTCTGCAACGTTACTATAGGAAATGAAAGCCCTGGGTGGTCAAACAGGAGGGCAAGTCAGTGTTGAGGTTGACTCTGCTCCAGGTATTGATCTGACCAAGATCCTGGCTGACATGAGAGACCAGTATGAAGTCATGGCTGAGAAGAACAGGAAGGATGCTGAAACTTGGTTCAACAGCAAGGTAAAAAAATAAAACAATACAAGACAGAAGAAAATAATTTCAAACCTCTTGTAGAAAAGGGCTCCTACAGCCTTTCATGATCTTCAGAAAACTGCACTCCATTTTTCAAATGTTTTCTCCACTTCAGATTGAAGAGCTGAACCAAGAAGTAGCCATCAATACTGAACAGCTGCAGACCAGCAAGACTGAAATCACAGATCTGAGACGCACCCTCCAAGGCCTGGAGATAGAACTTCAGTCCCAGCTTAGCATGGTATGTGGCAATTTCTCCCAAGATTTGCATTTTACAAATCCATGCTAGGACAGGTATAGTGATAAGTGACCCCTAATCGAGGGTGTTTCCTTTCTAAAGAACAATCCTGTATTTGGTGACAGACTTTGAATTATTTTTCTTCCAACTTCTTTATTCTCAGAAAGCTGCCTTGGAAGGCACCTTGGCAGACACTGAGAATCGCTTTGGTGCCCAGCTGGCACAGATCCAGCACCTGATTGGAAACATCGAGGCACAGCTGACCGACCTTCGAGCTGATATGGAGCGGCAGAATAGTGACTACAAGATACTCATGGACATCAAGACCCGGCTGGAGCAGGAGATTGCCACTTACCGCCAGCTGCTGGAAGGCCATGACTCCTAGTATGTAACTATACTCACTGCAAAAGACATTTGAGGGTTGTTAGACTATCATGATATTCCTGTGGTAACTCTGCACCACAGTATATTCAATTTAAAATACACTTGGAGACTCTAAAATGTCCAGTGAACGACGTTTGCAGGATACATGACAAATCTGCAAATGTCAGTGATCCTACCTATGTTGTGCAGATGGGAATTATTATTTTGCATCATATATATCTACATCATGGGTTCTCAAACTGGGGGTGGGGACACCTCAGGGGGTCACAAGGTTATTCCATGGGGGGTCGCGAGCTGTCAGCCTCCACCCCCAAACCCTGCTTTGCCGCCAGCATTTATAATGGTGTTAAATATATAAAAAGTGTTTTTAATTTATAAAGGGGGGGTCACACGCAAAGGCGTGCTATGTAAAAGGGGTCACCAGTACAAAAGTTTGAGAACCACTGATCTACATAAATTATTATTTTTATAACTTATTAATTATTACTAGTTAATTTATTATTTGTTTCCAGTAATGTCTACATCGTGCTAGTTGCTTTCTAAAAATAAAAGAAGGCACAATCTCTGCCCCAAAGAGTTTCAAAACTAAATGACAAAATGACCAAGGGTAGAGGAAAAAAGTGGAACATATAAGTAAAGTAATCAAGGTGATTATTAGTTACACAATGTCTGAATAACACAATGTTGTTAGTGTTGTTTTATAAAACAAATAGATTATCTCCAAATATCCACAGCTGGTTCTTTTCTTGTAGGCATCATGGTAGAAGTGAATCTTGAGGAGGGATTTGAATGCAGACTCAGTTATATAGCTAATTTCAAACAGCAGTATAACTTCACCCTGGACTTGGTGCCATAGCCTTTTCTCAGTTCATGTGTGGGACCAAAGGGAAAACATTCCTCATATTCTGGAACATGAAAAACCATTTGGGGTTGGACAGATTCTTAAATTTCTCATATTTAATTTATTTCCTTAGTTCCAGAATCCTCTTTGCCACTTCTGTCCTTTTCTGATACATCTTCTATAGTTTCCTCTTCCCTGAGCGAAGGAGTAGAAGAGTCAGTACAGGAGCCAACAAGGAGCTAACGCTTTCTTTCCTGATGCTGAAAAGGGCGCCTGATAGACAGACTTTACTTTTTCATATCTTCCTCTCATCCAGCACTTGATATTTGTTATCGTTCTTTGCTATAATTATTTTCTCTTTGTGCCACAGGATGTTTTGGACTCTTTACGGAACTGCTGGTAAGGATTCTCTTTCTTTATGGGAACCTATAAAAGGCAGAGTATTTTTATTTTAATAAAAGAAGAATCTATTGATGAGTGGTATCCATCTTGCTGTCTATGCCACGCATCCGGTCTTCAACCAGAATGCCCAGTCGAAAAGGGACCCTGGCAGCTCCAATCAGTATTGCTGACCAGGCCGTTAAAGGCCCGGTCAGCGGTGCAGCAGGACTAAGGCAGACTCCTTGCCTGCCCTGGTTCCGTGTGGCTCCCAGAATCGTCCACCACCATCCCTGTGGCCCCTAGGCACAGGAGTGGCCAAGGAGGCTCCGTGCCCTGTCCCTGCCCTGAGAGCCAGCTCCGCAGCTCCCATTGGCCTGGAACCATTGGCCAATGGGAGCTGCGAGGGCGGCACCTGCAGGCAAGGGCTGCACGCAAAGTTTCCCTGGCCACCCCTGTGCGTAGGGGCCACAGGGACATGCTGGCCACTTCAGGGAGCAGCTTGAGGTAAGTGTTGCCTATAGCCCGCACCCCCTCCCACACCCCAACCCCCTGCCCCAGCCTTGAGCCCCCTGCATCCAAACTCCCTCCTAGAGCCTGCACCCCACACCACCTCTAGGGTTGCCAACTTTCTAATAGCACAAAACCGAACATCCCTGCCATGCCCCTGCCCCACCCTCATCCCCAGCCTCATCCCAGTGCCCGCACCCCCAGCCAGAGCCCTCACCCCTCCTGCACTCCAACCCCCTGCCCCAGCCCAGAGCCCCCTCCCACACTCTGAACCCCTCAGCCCCACACCCCAGCCCGGAGCCCCCTCCTACACCCCAAATCCCTCATTTCTGGCCCCACCACAGAGCCTGCAACCCCAGCTGGAACCCCCACCCCCTCCACCACCCCAAACCCCTGCCCCAGCCCAGTGAAAATGAGCGAGTGAATGAGGGTGGGGGAGAGTGAGTGACGGAGGGAGGGGCAATGGAGTGAGTGGGGAGGGGGGCCTCAGAAAAGGGGGGGCAGGGGTGGGGTCTCAGGGAAGGGGCATGGCAGGGGGCAGGGCAAGGGTGTTTGGTTTTCTGCAATCAGAAAGTTGGCAACCCTACATTGCTCCCTGTCATTGATAGAATTCAAACAAAGAATGCCATTCAGTCTAGTTAGAAATTTTTAACAAATTACAGCTCCTTGCTAGGGATCTTTATATAGTCACAGCAAGATACTAAAGATGAGGAAAAGTATCTAAGACTATAGCACAATAAATGGCTATATAAACAGCCAATCACATAGTCATTCCTATGGGTGAGAGGACTATGAAGAAATTCAAGACTGAGCAGTTCAGAACTATTATGCACACATTTAAGGAGAATTTGCTGTGAATGTTCTTGGGTCCGCAGTATCTTGCAAAATACTGTAGAAGTGACACAGGCTTCTACTTTAATGTTATTTCAAAGAAAAGTTCTGAGAGGGAGGATTGAGAGTTGAGGTTGGAGCTAAACTTTTCTCTCCACCTGCTGAAGCTGTTTTCACATGTGTAACATGCTAGAATAATCACTGTTCTTTACCTCCTTATTTACTGCAGGCTCTCAAAACAGCAGCAAAAGAGACAAGGTGGCTGATGGAAAGAACTACTGAAGAGACTCAGACTATCTTACTCTCCAAGAATAAAAGCACTAGACAACCAGGAATCAGTACCGAAGGGTGCCATCACAAACAGACAGTAGTGCTTTGAGATATTCACTTATAAGAAATTCTAGACCACACAATGTTCAAGGTAGAATAGGCCATTTATTAGTGATACATTTATGAACTGGGTTAGCTGTTCTTGCATTTCCAGTTCTCTTTTACTACTATTTTTGCTGTTTCTACTGTCTAATAAAATCATCTGATTTATGCAAACATCACTTCTGTCTGGTTATTGTGATATACCAAACAGATATTATTATGAATAGCAATGGCTGCGGCCAACTGAAAAGGACTATTAATGAATTCCAAAGTACTCTTGGTAAAAACATGGTGAGTGGGAACCAGTGTTCATGGGTGGAAGAATAAAGCATCTCAAAATGGAGTGAGATCCAATAGAAACTTATAGGATCCCTCAAGATGGAAAGTTATGTAAGGTTTTTTCATGCAATATATATTTGAACACATTTATCCTCAAACTAAAAGATAAACCTCTACTCCATACCCCGTTAAGTGGCAAATGCATACCCAATCCACATCCAATCGCAACAAACCTTCGGTCTCTGAATACTTACAACAACATAACTGTGCCAATGTAAAAGGCCTGACCCTATCCTACAACATACTGAGCATCTTCTGCAAGATATGAGCACCCTCAGCTTCCATTGACTTCAACGGGAATTGAGCAGACTCAGCACATTAGAGACAGTGCTAATATCTTGCAAGATCAGACCCAAAGTCAATTATGGTGAATGATAGTAGTCTCCCGTGCCTGACCACAAAGCTTTCCAGCTTCCCAGACAGGAGCACAAGACTGGTTCATTATTTGCCATACTGTATGCTTGCTGAGTTGGCACTGATACTTCGTTGTTCTACAACATTAGCAACCATCAAATAGTGATGTGGTAGCCTTATTGAGATTATTAGGGCTCGCTGATTTCTGCAAGTAGCAACCAATATAAGCCATGATATGTTCTAACCAAGCTTGCTTTGTAGTCTAGAATTTTGGAGCTTTTAACCTGGGATCTAGCTTTAGTTTTTAAGGCTATTCCATCCCATAAAGTTTTTCACTGCTAAAGTATTATGAGTGCAACAGGATACAGAGATCTGAGAAATTTCAGTCAGTGATCCACATGGAATTAAGTCAGATTTCTGCAATCTTCCCCAATGTTAACCCTCTGCATTCCTGCATTTCCTTCACCCAGACCCCCTAAACGGCAGGAATTAACCAGCGTTATAGATTCACAGAAAAAAACAATAACTTAAAAAACAAAACAAAGTAGTTAAAAGTAGCAGAAGAGCTGATGTCTTTAAGATTCAAAGGGAACAATTTTCATTCCAGTCTCTTGAAGATTTATCATAGTTGAGGCACTGATGATGTTTAACTGAATTGTTCAGTCCCCCGAGTATCAAATTTCATTCCCAGCCATTGCTTTGGAAACTGTATGTTATGACCGGGGTTGGGACATAAACCAGTGGCATCCTTATAGGCTTCATGTTAAAAGGCAGCTCAACATGCAAAATACCCACAGTAATAGCCTACCTGTAGCATAAGACATCCACACCTCCAAGTATCATAATGGCCATGTTATTGATTAGTCACTGAGGGCTAGACAGCTGTCTTACAATCAGCCCTGAGTAAGGGGCAATGCATAGCTGTATCCCCTAGGAACAGACCAAATTGCAAATTGTGTCTCAGAGGGTAACAATGTTTCCCCTCCTTCCACTTACTCTGGGGAAGGAGTGCATTATTTCTCAATTTTTTATGAAACAAAGAATTCTTCTCTGAGCACCCACCCAGATACTCTGGACAGCAAGTAAGCCAGGGCTCCGCTCCTCTCCCTCTCCACCTCCTCCCTGCCCACTTGCTCATAGTGGGGGTAGCCCGAGTAGCCCCTGCTCTCTTGTCCAGGGCTTGAGTCACAGTCCAAGCAGAGCTTAGCAGAGGAGTAAGAGTGGGTAACCCTCTTGCAATTAATAGCACTTTTATGTACATTTTTCTGAAAACTGTTTCTAGCCATGCTGCAGAAGAATGAAGCCAGCTAGGGAAGGTACGCAGTTTAGAAGTTACAATTAGACAAACAGGATGTTAGTAAACTAGCTTTTCCACAGCTGGAGAGTGAGACCTATCTTCAAATCTCTAAAAAGAGACTCAGCTGGTTGTGAAATGAATTTGGTGTTCTTAATCTCATCTCTAAAAGAGGCTTTTTTTAAAAAACATTGAAATTATGCATTTTTAGTGGTAACTGAAGTAAAATAAAGATATAAATCTACTAGGAAGTAATATTGTACATTATATTCTGCTTTCATTTTGAAGTTTCCCAGAGCATTTTACAAACTTAACAGAGTGCTGAAAATATTATACACAGAGTTAATTTAATTAATTACAGATATGTATTAGCTGGTTAACAGCACAGAGCAACAGTATCCAACGGTTTTGGCAAGAAAGTGAAGAATGCTTTTTCTAAGTTTCCCGTTTGCTTATTTTTTAAAATGTGCCAATCACCTTCTTTTCAGTCACATGTGCAGAGACCATTTGAGGCAGATACGGTCACTTGTTATGTGGTTGTACAGCACCTGGGTTCTAGTACAATGTAAATGTTAGATAAATAACAAGAACAACAATAATAATTGTATTAAAAACCCAAATAAATTTCTTAGTCTCTAAGGTGCCACAAGGACTCCTTGTTGTTTTTGCTGATACAGACTAACACGGCTACCACTCTGAAACCATTAAAAACCTTACGATCAGTTGACCAATGTCAGCCAAAACCTATTAACTCAACCTCATACATAGCTCTAAATAAAAACACACCACATCTTACCCATGCAGACAAAAGCTCAAGCAAACACATAGATTTAGATGTGCCCTGAAAATGGATACATTTGCCGTTTGTTAGAGCAAAGTGGGAAGTGAATTCCATAGTTGAGGGATCACTATTTAAAACAATCTGCCACCAGTACTGACACTTACCTCTAATAAAGACTCTGAATAAAACCACAGAGGCAGATCTCAACTTTGTAGTAGGACATGGTGAGAAAGGAGAGCTCTCAGGTCCCAAAGTATGCAGAGATTTAAAGGTCATTATCAGCACTTTTAATTGTATTGGGAAGTGACCAGGAGGCCAGTTCATCCTCTGCAGTATTGATGTAACACATGCCCTGTAATTAGCACTGATAAGTAAACAAATCAAAGTATTTTGCATCAATGTTAGTTTCAGAATGGTCCTCAAGTGTAGCGTGGCAGTAATTCTAATCTGTAGGTGGCAAAGACATGGAGCACTGTGACAACTTCCACATTAGAGAGAACAGCTGCATTCTCTGTGCCAAGCACAAACAAGAAAAGGCACATCTGGCTAATGCAGTACCTCAGATTGCAAGATCATCTGGGTATCCAGAAGTATCCCAAGACCATGAATCTCATCCACAAAGTGTGAGCAAACCCTTTTAATCATGGGGGCGAACACCATACTGGTGCATTCATTTGGTAATGATTCATGGGAATTGCCAACACCATTTCCTGCAAAACCCTGGGTATTCCTTGGAGATTTCTTTCCAAGTACTGACACAGCCTATCCATGCTTAATTTGTTGGAATCTGGTAAATTCACATGAGAAAGTTGTCTGACTGAAAAATAACCAAAGGGGAAAAATAATTAAAATACCTCTTATCCCCACCACAGAATCCTACCCATGCAGATCAGGATGGAGGTGCATTGACAAAGGCAGGGTAGTGAGAGGGAGACTAAGACAGGAACAGAAGTTGCATTGAGGTGCCTTGGCAGAGCTGGAGGTGAGCACAGAATCAGAAGAGCTGGGAGTATTGCAGGTTATCAATAAAAGCATTAGCTTTGGTAGAGATGAAGCTTGTTCTAAAACAGTATACCTTTATATTTTACATCTGCCTGTGGGAGCAGCGGGAGAAGTCTGTAATGCATCAAACACAAAGAGGCTTCTGTATCTCTCCTTCAAAGTTGCTGACTCACTTGCTAAGAAATGTTTCATATCAAATTGCAAATCCTTTGTCTCCTAAACCTAGTGATTACACCTGGAATCCATTACAGATGAGCAAAGATCTCCTGTTCTGTCTTTATTCTCCAAAGGCTATACATAGGAGCCCATTCCCTGTTGGTTTGTAATTTTTGTCAGAGTTCTCTTTATTCCAAATGTCTGAACAGAGTCCCAATAGAGTACCAACATTAGTTAGCTTACAGCATGTTACATGCTCATGCAGTAAGTCAGGTTCTTCAGCATTGCAACAGTTAAAACAATATGTGAAAAATGCTTAACCCCCAAAGTGCTTTGCATTATGTGGACTCATGAAGCTGAGTATTTCTATCATGCATTGTTTGTGTAATTAAATGCTACAGGGTAGAAAGTAAGATGTACGGGGACACTTTCCTTCATGGACATCCTACAGCCAATATTTTCAAATTTCAGTATTTAAAGTTAGGTACTGAATGGACCTTTAACCATGTAAAGGAATGTCCTGATTTTTAGAGGTGCTAAACATTCACAAATTTTATTGAAGGCCTACCTGCAGATGCTCAGTAGCCCTGAAAATGAGGCCACCTTTATTTAGGCACCAAAATATGGATTTTAGTGTCTAATTTTAGGCACCAAAGTTTGAAAATGTTGGCACATACTCTTACTGTACTGGAAGGTTTCAGGTGAAATATTCAAAGTAAAATCATTCAGATAGTGTCAGATAGTGTTAAATCTGAAGTCTGGCTATCTCAGTTCATTCAGAAATAGACAGCCTGCAGGGTATGTGATGAATCGTTATGGTTTGACCACACAAAGGCTGGGTATGTCATGGTGACAAACAGGCCTCTTTCTGAATGGAACTCTTTGTCTGCATGAGCTGACAGGATATTATTTTTTAGAAATCTAGTAAAAAAACGATGATAATAACAGAGTTTGCAGAGTGCAGACATGCCAGAGGACGTCTGCCAACAAAGCTCTGCCAAGGCAGAACAAACGGAGTAGTTTATACATAGCTTAGTTTGGAATTCCTCATTTACAGAGGCACAGTACTGAGTACCATGCAAAGGACTAAACTGAGTGTAAGCGTCAAGACATGAGGTATCAAATCTTAGGGAAAGGTTAGTGTGAAGTGTGCAAAGACCACAAGTGGCAAGCTCAATACAGCTCCTACCGCCTCAGTGGGTGGGTGGCTCTGCTGTGACTTTCTCGGTAGAGTCATTTTCACTTCATACCCA